TGTTGCCGGAAGAGAAATTACACCTGTCATGGATGTACTCCTTCAACAAGAACAGAACCTCTTCCAGGTTCTGATTAGGAAAAATGAGCTAGTGTACTAATTTCAGTGAATCAAGCTATGAATTAAAAATCATGGCAGAATTATTTGTCTAGCTATATTTTACACTGTGATGAAAAGTACAGCTATCACTTATATGTGGGATCTAAAATATGATACAAACGAACTTATCTAAGAAATAGAAACAGACGTACAGACATAGAGAACAGACATGTAGTTGTTGCCCAGGGAAAGGGGATGGGGAAGGGATGCAGTAAAAGTCTGGGATTAGCAGATGCAATCTATTATATACTGAGTGGATAAACCACAGGTTCCTACTGTATAGCACAGGGTATATTCAACATCCTGTGATAAAGCAAACAGAAAAGAATATGAAAAAAAATGCATATGTGTATAAACAATTCACTTTTCTGCACAGCAGAATTAACACATTGCAAATCAACTATACTTCAATAAAATAAATTTTAAGAAAAGTACAGATACTACATAAAGTTTATAATACACAGAGTTTAAGAGGGCTAATTTCGGCTTCGAGTTATTCAGATCCACAATCTGTTGTATCTTCTTTGTAACAAATGATGTACCTGATCTGAAAATTTGTATGGCCCAAGAAAACACGGCAGGTGCTCTCTGACACTGTCCTCCTGTATCAGTTTCATGTATTAACTCTTGCTCTATGTTTCCTCGGTAAACCTCGATGATAAATGCCCAATGGCGCTAGCAGGCAATCTCTGGAGCCACACACACTTTCTGCTCCCACCAGCTGGACTCCACGCTGACTTCAAGAGTCAAGCTGTGTCTTCCCAAACCAGTTTATGCCAGCTGACTTGTTACTGTAATTATGAAATTTAATTAAATATTATGAAAGTTGATGGAATATGAGCACAAGAGATAAATCTTGTTTCTTATTAAAAACTAAATTGAAGGCTTTGGGAACATTTCATAAAAGCAACTCATTAAAAGGAAAGCTATTGGACTAGATGTGGGCAAAACCTACAAAAAAAGGAGAAAAAAATTTTAAATCTAAGATTATGTAAGATTCAGAGTGTTTTGCTACTGTCTATGTTTATACTGTTAATACAAGGTAGAATTCAAAATAGCAGAATCACTGTCAAAGAAGCACCCTTGGCCTCACCAAAATTTAGCAAATATATATTTATTATTATTATATAGTTTAGTGAAAGTAAGATATTTTGAGTATGTATACTTCTGCAAGATTCCCTGTCAATGATTTTTTTAATTAAACAGTTCTAATTATGTTAGCTAAGAGGGTATGGTCTGTCTATAGATAGAAAGAGGGTTTAAATAAGAAATTTCTTTGAATTAGTTGCTCTTAAATTTATGAAGTGTTATGATCTAAACTGGATTACCATGGAATACAGATGTTCAAATTTTTATTCCTTACTTTTGAAAGACAAAATACTTTGAACAAAATTCTACCAGATTTAAAGATAAAAACACTCTCCTTCCTTTAGTCTAATATAGTACAGAGCAGAGCAAAGCAGTCAAGAACATGATTCTGGTTGGACACCCAAAAGGTGAAATACTGAAATTAACTGAAGTTAATACTATTAACTTCAATGGCAGCTTAACCACTGAAACCAGTCACACAAACCGCAGTTTTCTCATCTGGAAAATGCCTTCAATAATTCTATCTACACCACAGGGGGCATGAAGACACTGAAACGAGAAAATGCACATCAAACCACAAAGTCAGTTTCTAGTTCACAGTAAGTGCTCAGAATGTTTATTAATGTGAGTATATTACCTAGAGACAGACAACCTGGAACGTCAAGTCAACTGGGCCTTAGGAAGCATTACTACAAACAAAGCTAGTGGAAGTGAAGGAATTTCAGTTGAGCTATTTCAAATCCTGAAAGATGATGCTGTGAAAGTGCTGCACTCAATATGTCAGCAAATTTGGAAAACTCAGCAGTGGCCACAGGACTGGAAAAGGTGTTTTCATTCCAATCCCTAAGAAAGGCAATGCCAAAGAATGCTCAAACTACCGCACAATTGCACTCATCTCACACACTAGTAAAGTAATGCTCAAAATTCTCCAAGCCAGGCTTCAGCAATACGTGAACCGTGAACTTCCAGATGTTCAAGCTGGTTTTAGAAAAGGCAGAGGAACCAGAGATCAAATTGCCAACATCCACTGGATCATCGAAAAAGCAAGAGAGTTCCAGAAAAACATCTATTTCTGCTTTATTGACTATGCCAAAGCCTTTGACTGTGTGGATCACAATAAACTGTGGAAAATTCTGAAAGAGATGGGAATACCAGACCACCTGACCTGCCTCTTGAGAAACCTGTATGCAGGTCAGGAAGCAACAGTTAGAACTGGACATGGAACAACAGACTGGTTCCAAATAGGAAAAGGAGTACGTCAAGGCTGTATATTGTCACCCTGCTTATTTAACTTATATGCAGAGTACATCATGAGAAATGCTGGGCTGGAAGAAGCACAAGCTGGAATCAAGATTGCCGGGAGAAATATCAATAACCTCAGATATGCAGATGACACCACCCTTATGGCAGAAAGTGAAGAAGAACTAAAGAGCCTCTTGATGAAAGTGAAAGAGGAGAGTGAAAAAGTTGGCTTAAAGCTCAACATTCAGAAAACTAAGATCATGGCATCTGGTCCCATCACTTCATGGGAAATAGATGGGGAAACAGTGGAAACAGTGTCAGACTTTATTTTTGGGGGCTCCAAAATCACTGCAGATGGTGATTGCAGCCATGAAATTAAAAGACGCTTACTCCTTGGAAGGAAAGTTATGACCAACCTAGACAGCATATTAAAAAGCAGAGACATTACTTTGCCAACAAAGGTCCGTCTAGTCAAGGCTATGGTTTTTCCAGTGGTCATGTATGGATGTGAGAGTTGGACTACAAAGAAAGCTGAGCGCCGAAGAATTGATGCTTTTGAACTGTGGTGTTGGAGAAGACTCTTGAGAGTCCCTTGGACTGCAAGGAGATCCAACCAGTCCATCCTGAAGGAGATCAGTCCTGGGTGTTCATTGGAAGGACTGATGTTGAAGCTGAAACTCCAGTACTTTGGGCACCTGATGTGAAGAGCTGACTCATTGGAAAAGACCGTGATACTGGGAGGGATTGGGGGCAGGAGAAGGGGACGACAAAGGATGAGATGGTTGGATGGCATCACCGACTCAATGGACATGGGTTTGGGTAGGGTCCGGCAGTTGGTGATGGACAGGGAGGCCTGGCATTCATGGGGTCGCAAAGAGTCAGACATGACTGAGCGACTGAACTGAACTGAACTAGGCAAAAGAGCCAACTACTATTAATACATATGTAAGATTATAAGTAACATGTTCTCTCCTGTGTTGTAATGTCAGTTCTTTAGGAAGGTGGCCTCTTCTACAGACAGCTCACAAACACCTGTGGAAAACTTCTCCAGGCTCAGTAAAACAGGGATTTTCAGCAAGGGGCAATTTCCTAGAGGACATTTGGCAATATCCAAATGGAGACATTTTAGGTCATCGCAAGTCAGGGTACCTATCCGCATCTGGGATGTAGAGGCCAGGGACGCTGCTAAACATCTTATATCCCAGAATGTGTAAGACTGTAGGATATAACAAACAAAGAATTATCTGGCCCCAAATACCAAGATGGCAAGGTCAAAATACTCTGTACCCTTAAGGACAGAATAAGAAAGAAGTGATTTCTAAAATCTGAACTCCAGGAAGTTTTCTGAGAAAATAAAGATGGCCTGCCAAGGAAGTCAGGATTTTCGTTATATTAGTTTCAGGAATGAAACTAATGAAACATCTTTGCCATAGATGTTTAAGAGACGTGGATGCTGAGCACTGAGACAAGGCTCCTTTGGTCAATAAACCCTTGTGAATATAGCCAATCATGCAATAACCTTACAATAAATTTTATTTTAAAGTAAGCAATGTCATACAGCTAGCGAACTAGAATGAAGTACTAGAAATGAAAATTCATTTGGAGGAATAAATCTCAAAAGGACTCAAAACCCCCAAACAGTAGGTGGGAAATTGAAAGACCACTGTCGTAGCTTGTATACAGGGGGCCTCTCACTTGGTCTCAATGCAGAGATTACTGAGCTAGCTAGAGAACCACAGGTGTACATTCTTCCTCGGTGAGCATCTTGTCTCCTAGCTCAGGTACTTGCACGACCCACTCATTCTTCAATTAATAATGCTGCTCAAAAACACTATTAGAAAGCTCCTAAGAGTTCATTTAAACTACCTGTCAGTGAATTCACAGAGTTTTCTTAAAAGCATGAGATAAAACTGTATGTATACAGCACAACTCAACAATATAGATATATATTTTCTCCCAAAGCAGAAAAAGAAGTCATCAACATGCTAATGGTACTTCTCATTCCAGTGCCTTTTATACTCAAATCTAGAAGACCAAGGTTTGATTCCCAACTCTGAGATTTTTGTCAAATAACAAAGTTCTCACTAAAATGCCTGTGAAATGAATGGGAATGTATTATAATTGTCATTGAGTGATGAGAACATTGATAGAGAAAAGAAATGGCCCTGTACCAATTGCAAAAGTACTAAACAAATAAAAAACCTGCACTAAGATTGCTTTTGAAACCCTTTAAAAGCTGTATTTAGAATATTTTTAACTTTATATGATATTTATCCCTAAAGGTGACATAGCAAGTCTTCTACATAAAGATTATAATTTCATCCATCCACTGGATCAAAGGTTTTTTACTTAATAAAATTAATATACTGTATACAAGATATTTAATATATCTAAAAGGAGAAAGTAACTCACAAAATGCAAACGGAAATATACTGCAGCAAACAGCTAACTCTTTCACCATCAAGAGAAGGCATTCATGCAAATCTTCCATCACACTGCCTTACAAAACCTGATAGACAGTACTCCTTTTCAGAAAGTATGGCAAAAGAAAATTAAAGATCTCTACTCACCCTTCTGATAGAAGAATTTCCTGTAATAGTAGGCGCCGAGATCCACGTGTTCCACGATGTATCTTTTCACCCGATCCAGGTGTAACACCAAGTTCTCCTTGGGCACTTCGAGTACTGCCACGCCTGCGTTTGTACAATGGGAGCTGAGTGTAGACTCAAAGGAGGCACTTTCACATCCACTAAACGAACCGGAATTTGATTTGGACAGGCTGATCTTCCTTTCCCCTTCTCCACCAATCTCATTCCGAAAATACGGACAGCTCATCACCAGTTCATTGCTTTTATCGTCTCCCTGGTCCATGCTGAGGCTTCCTTTGGAATTCAGGTCCTCCGTGCTGCCCATTGGGGAGCTGAAGCTGGCGGAGTGCGACAAAGGCCCTGAGACCAAGGATGCCACTGCAGCTGCCGAGGCCCCTGTGGTGGTGTTTCTCCTCTTAATTACATTGTGCCTGTTCATAATCGCCTCGTTCAAGTCAAATAAGATACTCTGGACATCATAGTGGGCAAAGCACTTCGGGCATGTCCAGGGCCTGACAGAGTCTTCCGATCGGTTATCTTCAAGATCCGACGACTTCCCAAGTTCCTCACCTTTGGCATTGCGTAATTTACGAAAAATGGAGGAGTCTCCGGTTTCCGACTTGGAGCGCCGCTTGAGTGGTTTTTCCCTTTCCTTAAAGAGCCTGAGGTTCTCTCTCTGTGAGATGGGCCCGTCTATCACATCCAAGGAGAAACCAGAACCCTTGCCCCCACCGGCGATGAGAAAGTCACTGAGCTTGGTCGGAGTGGGACCTCGATCAGACTTGTCCTCTTTGTAGCCCTTTAACAGGTCAAAGAAGCTTTCTCCGGACGTTCCCTGCTTATCGATTGAGGATGTGCTACCGTATTCCCTGTGCAGCGATGGGCCCGTCTTGTAAGTGGGCGAGATACATTCATCGAAGCTATCCACATCAAGTTCACTTATGGTGATGTCGCTGTTGCTGCGCTGCCGGATGCGGCGCAGCGCCTTCCTGGGGGAGCTGGGGTAGGCTTCGGGCATGAGAAACCTGGAGTCCATGCTCTCCGCCGGCCGCGTCTTGCTCTTCAGCGTGTTCTGTATGCTTTTTAACATGGCTGAGTCACTGGAATTGAGGCTTACAGAACTTCCCTGACTCACAGGACTGCTTTTGGAGGACAGGCTCTCAAGGCAACTTGAGGTTTCTATTTCCTGGCTTGAACGGCTAGATTCTTTTACGTTTTCCTTTCTGGGGGGCCAATCCGCAATCCTTGCCCGAACCCCCATCTTTGGGACTCCGGGGGTTGAAGTTATATGGTGAGAACCTTCACTTCGGGGGGGCCCTACAGGAGCCATGACAGATGACCCTAAGCTGCCGTTTTGGGACCTGAAACGTCGCATGTAGAAGTCGTCTGTGTGGACTTTGGGGGTGCCATCTGCGCCCACAACGGATGCCCTCTCAGTGGCAACCGGCCTCTCTGTCTGTGACCGTTTCAGGCTGGTCATGATGCAAAAGCAATCTGACTTAAACCCCCACAGAAAGGACCATCATGCCTAAGTTTTAAATGTGCACTTCCCTTTTGGAGAATGGCTTCCAGAAAACACAGCAGTTGCACGGGATCTTAATCTTTTTCATTTAAAAGGTCAAAATAACTCCTTTTCAAATCTCTGAAAATCCAGATCTTTAGAACATTATAATCCACAAGAGTTCCTTTGCTTTACTTTGATAGATGGCTTTCCTTCAGAAAGAACTGAATGGAACTTGTATCACTGGGACTCTGTGATTGCCACAATCCCATGCTTTCTCTAAAAGAGAGGAGGACAATTTGGATTAGCATTTAATAAATACATCTAAAAAGAAGCACACAACTGCCAAAACCAGATTCATGCAAATAAAAGATTCAGTAACGGATTGTGGCTCACAGTTTACAACCCATATTTTTAGTAAAGCAGATTTGAAAGCATTTAATAATATCCATCATTTAAATTACATATATTTTAAAAGACTATTAATACTTCAGCTTAATTGAACTATTTCATATCATTAGAAGGCGGTGAGGGATCTTGTTCCAGGACATTAGCCCAAGTACAGACCACAGACAGACTCCAGTGACCTCTAACAATGTAGACTATCATGAACCGCTGTGTTGACCAGAAGTTCACAGCATAACCAACAGAGTTCGATAATTAGAGCAACATACAGCTTTTTAACAAGACTAAAAATTGAAAAATTATGTTACAGAATATGTTGCAACACTTACTTTTTAACCTCTTTTGTATTCCAAAATTCAAACTTAGTTTTCTGTTTTTTTACAAAGGCTTAACAGAGTTGGCAAGAGCAAATACAATAGAGAGAATATAAACACGGTTTTCCCCAAGCCATTCTACCCATTAGCATGCTTCTGTAATTCCCTCCAGTTTATTACTTACCCCAAAGAGCAGAATTTCAGAATGCACCCAGCATTTTCCACCACCTCTTCCCGAGCTCTCTTTCCTTCTATCTACCCTTAAAGCTACAAACGTTTCACTAATTAGCAAAATGCCTGCATTTCCTTACGCATTGCAACCCACCCCACCCTTCGGTGCTAATTTATGAAGACAGCAGAAACCAAAAGCTGCTGTGGGCAGACCTCTCCATATCCCCCAGTCGACGACAGAGAAGTGCTAACATCCTTCCAGGTGACGGGCAAAGAAAACCAACTTCCTCAGGAGCACGTCAATCAGGAGGCAAGAGGCACAGATTCTGAGCACAAAATCCTGCATGGTTGCGTACATCCTGAAAATAAAGGCAGAGGACCCTTTTCCAAGGCTCCACAAATTACACAAGAGGTGGCCTTTAAATTCCTGCCAAATGCATGTTTGCAAAGATGCTGCTGATCCAGCACTGCGCTGCCGGGGCCGCATTGTCTACAAATCACGGCTGACACCCAGGCCGACCTGGGTTCGCTGCGCTCTGCTCCCCAGCAGCAAGCACTTACTTCCACGATAATTAAGCATCTCGCTAGTCGGCTTCCTGCCTCCCAGGCAGCCGCTTTAATTTCTCCTGCGCTATGCAGCATCATTTTAGAAGACTCGCTGCTATTTAAAGGCTGGAACATTTAGGGGTGTTTCAAAAATGCACGCCGCCTGCAGAACACAGGGCCAAAGGAGCTCCAGCTGGGCTCGCTCCGGCTGCTTAGACCAGCCCCACACAGAAACGCCAATTGTTTTCCCTCTGGCTCCTCTTCACCATCTTTTGTGAAAGGGATAATGATTTTGCACCACTACCCAATGAAACCTGACTTTCAACCTCTCTAGATACTTCTACCGTCAGATTGCTATAATTTGACTGTATATCTGGGAACTGTCCAGGATCCTCTTGAACTGTAAACCTTCAAGTGGAATAATGTGCTAACTGTTGCTTGCGTCTGAAAGAGACCATGTGGCCACAGCCAAGGTTTAAGAAGTGCTCCTTATAAAATGGAAGGAAACTGGGCAACTGAACCAAAATGCAAAGTAAACACTAGCCCATCTCAAAGGGAAAAAAAAAAAAATCTTGTGACAACCCCAAACCACAATTTATGAGCTATTTTGTAACTAGGGAAAAAAGAAGCTGTTTATTTCAATGAAACAGCTTTCAAAGAAAGAATATACTGACATACAAGATAATTCTCAATAGATTCTTATGAAAATCAGATGTTTTAAAAAAAAAAAAAGAAAGAAAATCAGATGTTTTCAATGCCTCTCACAAACTCACAGAAATCCAAATAAATCATCTATCGTTCCCAGAACTGACATTCTCTAAGAGGCCAGTGCACCAACCCCCCAGGGTAAAGACTCATTCGTGCCACATTTCGTTTCCCTTAGAATAGAGTTCACCGCAGGACTGTCTTTTTAGTTATCTGTGAAGTTATGGGTCAGCACTAAAACACAGTAAGTAGCACTGACTTGGAAATACCTGCTCTTGGTGGTCACTACTACAGGATTCCCGTTCAGAAGCACCACATATGCTTCCTGGGTCTTTTTAACAGGTTTTAAAAAAACCTTACACAAGTGGGCTTCCCTGGTGGCTCCGTGGTAAAGAATTGGCCTGCCAATGCAGGAGACACGGGTTCGATCCCTGGTCTGAGAAGATCCTACATGCCGTAGAACAACTAAGCCTGTGTGCCACAATGATGGAGCCGGCGATCTAGTGCCTGGGAGCCGCAACCACAGAGCCCATGTGCTACAACTCCTGAAGCCCACGTGCTCTAAAGTCTAGGCTCCACAGCAAGAGAAGTCAATGCAATGAGAACCCACACACCGAAACTAGAGAGTGGCCCCCACTCTCTGCAACTAGAGAGAAGTCCTCACATCAGTGAAGACTCAGCACAACCAAAAATAAATAAAATCATTCAAAAAATCTTAGAGAAATGTTTCTTTATAATTTAAAATAAATGCCAGGACACCTGCTACATCTTGACTATGATAACTCAGTGTTATCTTTTATTTATTTATTTTTTCATTTATTTTTATTAGTTGGAGGCTAATTACTTTACAATATTGTAGTGGTTTTTGTCATACATTGACATGAATCAGCCATGGATTTACATATATTCCCCATCCCGATCCCCGTTCCCACCTCCCTCTCCACCTGATTCCTCTGGGTCTTCCCAGTGCACCAGGCCCGAGCACTTGTCTCATGCATCCAGCCTGGGCTGGTGATCTGTTTCACCCTATATAATATACATGTTTCGATGCTGTTCTCTCAAAACATCCCACCCTCACCTTCTCCCACAGAGTCCAAAATTCTGTTCTGTACATCTGTGCATCAGTGTTATCTTTTAATTTCAAAATACACGTGGGCACATACGGGAGAGAGTGCCCACTGTTAAACAACCTGAAAAATCTGAGGAGGTTCAAGATGGGACAACTAAGTTAAATAACAGATTTTGTTTTCTTGTCATGGAGACTTTTTCCTTTTCTCTTCCCTTTTCTTTTTTCCTCTCTTTCCTATCCTTATTTATAGCAACAAAGCCCTTCAGGCACAATAGGAACTTTAGACACAGACCAGCATCTACAGAATATATACGCTCTGTATTTATTCAAGTATTAACTGAAAATAATGGTGCCATCCATGTGTAATATGACACCACATCAATAATACCTAAAACCTCTTCCTTGGGGTTAATGGAAATAGCAAACATATGCTAACAATGATTAGCAATTCTCTTAGTTATCAGCAAACCTGCTTAAGCATCACTAAATATGGTAAAAAGTGATAGAATTAAGTAGACGAGCAGTACTAATTTATTGCATGTCACTTCTATCTGTTAAAAGAGTAAACTGTTTAAAAAATATCCTTGTTATATGTTTAATTTTACAGCTCTAGGTAGTACTTGAGTTCATGGTGGATCCATTTAGCTAGAATATCAATCCCATTGTTTAGTTCTGTGAGCTCCAGAAACTCTCTCAGCTAAGGAGAAGACACAATTCTACTAACTGAAAACCTTTCCACCAACTGAAAAGGTCTATCACCACATAACCTACCACAGTTTTCTGATAAGACCATTCTTTCAAAGGAAGTGCCTCCTCCTCTCCAGTAAATCACCCCCGTCTTTCTGCATTAACTTCTGAGCATGGACCACACACTTGGTGCTAGAGATATTTGGGGAAACAGCCCCTCCCTCCAAGGGAGGCTACAGGTGTAAAAACAGTCCCTGTCATCCTGGCTCACTGAGACATTTACATTCTTGACCTCTCTAGCCTTCCTGAAATTCTGTCTTCTCTAGGCCTTCATGATGAATACATTCTTCTTAATTTCTGGTGCCTCCTCAGGATCACTGGTGGCTCCATTTAAAAGCAAGTGATTCCAGGGTGGTACCCTTGGTTTAATTCTCTTACTAGTCTTCAGAGTTTTTGAAGATGCTGTAAACGGTGTTAGTATTAGGATGCATTTGAGCACCAAGTGCATTAGGATGAGATCGCAGACCTGGGGACACTGGAGTAAAAATATTACTCTAGAAATGAGGGTGTTGACTTGGCTGGATCAGTTGCCTGTGTAACTGAACGAAGGAGAATTAGGAAACTGCGTGGGGGAGATGGCTGCATGGTAGCCAGTACTGTCTGGATACCCACAGACTTTAAATATATTATCTCTATGCAGTTACCTCTAAATCTCTTCTCATGACCCTTTCCCTTAAATTACAGATAAAATATATGCAAGTGCTCATTTGATTTCTTCCTTATTTATCTATTTTCAACATGAATTATTAAGCAGAAAAATGGGAAAATAAAATTTTTCCAAGAAATAAATGAGTGATAAGGAAGTGAGAACAATAAATAATTGAAGGAACCAAAGGAAAGGAACAACATGGGAAACTTTCTTTGTGCCAAGGGCATAAAAATAGTTTAAAGGTTACACAAGAAGACGTGGGAAGGAAAGAAAACAAAAAACAAACAACAACTTACAGTTCCTGCCCTGAAATAATCTAAGTACAATATGGTACGTTCACTAAAAAGATGTAGTGTGCATGCTTAGTTGTGTCCAACTCTTTGGGACCCTACAGACTGGGGCCTGCCAAGCCTCCCTGTCCATGGAATTTTCCAGGCAAGAATACTGGAATGGGTTGTCATTTCCTCCTCCAGAGGATCTTCCTGACCCAGGGATGGAACTTGCATCTCCTGCATTGGCAGGCAGATTTTTTTTTACCACTGAGCGACCTGGAAAGCCCATGAAAAGATATAGCATTCTTCATCAATTACCTCCGTATTTCAAAATGGGATGTTGGTAGGTGCTTTAATTGGCACGGCCTCAGATACAGGACCAACTCTCAATGATTCCAAGC